GCACTAACGCAGCACCAGTAAGAGGTATGCAGAGGACCTGTATGTCTTAATTTTGCCAAATGACATTATAGAAATTCTGCACCGCATTACCTATTTATTCGCAGGGTTTTGTCGCACATCAATCACAGAGCAGTTATTTAGTGATACTGGGTATTGAAGGTTCATTTATCTACTCTTAATATTTCTGCAGGGAGAGCAGCTTAGTGTGGGACGTGGAAAACTATCTGCCCAAGTTGATTCGAACATGTTACCTGTGCTGTGGACGCAGCATTGCTCACAAGTGTAGCAGACTGTTGATGATGTGCGCCAGGTATTCACTGTTCGTACTTTTCCTTAGAGATCCGAGTGTCTTTAATTTGTGGTTTCCTTGGTTGCAGTACGCAAATTATCTGTAAGAAACCGCAAATATATACTTGTAAGAAGTGAATTTGCTGCCTCCATACATATCATCAACAGTGGTGGACCATCGTCGCATGTAATAGTACAAACGTTGTAATGACTAGCTGGCTATATTTCTTCGGGTTTTCAGTACAATTTAGTGGCACTATTTACACTCATGGGTGGAGTGGGTTGAGGTGATCATTGTTCACTTACCATTAATTTGACGTTGACTGTTCATCTTCTATTCACCATAGGAGAGCTGTCAGCCAAAGGACCTGCACTGATTCCACGTCATCCTTCCGAAGATCTCTACTAAATGCGATCCTGGATGTTTTACAAATAACTCCATGTGCTGTATCGTCTGGTGCAGTACACTGGCTGTTTAAATTACTTGCTGGATATGCCGCCCAGGCTGATTCTACCCTCACTAGTTTCGTTTGGTTGGAGTTGTTAGAGTTTTTATCTTCAAAGCTGGCTTCTACAAGACTACGAGAGCATCTTTTACTTCGCGCGAGGTTGGGAAGTTTGTTTACTGTAGAAGTTAAGCAAGCATTCTCATTACATTTTGTCGGCAAAGGATAAACGGATACGTGTTCAAATAGATCTTGATAGGTTTAATGCAATTACAGTATTTGCAGAACCCAAAGCCTGAGAGAAGACATAAGAGGGCAAAGACATCACAGATTTTGTGAATGGGCGATGGAAATATCAGAAGCGAAAATGATTTGAAATATCTTGTATCTCTGATTATAAAATAACTGAGATACTTCGAGTGCCTTCACTGGTCAAAAACCCATCGTTAATTGCACCGCTCAACCTACGGCTCGTGAACTTTCCTTTAGTTTCCCCAACATCCTTTGTGGGTTATACGCTGATAAACCGATAGAAAGTGCGGCGTATTACTTAAAAATATAATCTTGATCCGCGTTTGTTTGCCTCCGATCTCTCTTATTTCTGGGTCTTCTTAATGCACTTAAGGGTGCTTGCAGAGGATGCGGGATGATGCAATGTAGAGAGCGTTCACCTCTCAGCACTGTTGCTAGGTTCGATTCTCGGACCTGGCTTCACATGAGGGTCAAGCATTTCGGTGATGCTCGACCTTTTCTTCAAGTGTTTCTCTCGGACTTTTTGGTTTTCTTCCCTTCGCAAAAGTCAACATTCCAGTTTCCAATTTCACGTGGAAAATAGTGCACAAATAGGTGTCCTCAGGGAGGTTCACTTCTACAACCCCATTTGTTTCATTCATGTAGCTGCTGTGTATTCTTAAAAGTGAAAATTAAATTGTGGTTTTGTCAGGTATGGTCTTTATGGCTCCCCACTGGATCCTGTCCTGTTTGATGCTTTGCCGCAAACTTCCACCAGCCAGCAAAGTTCATCTGTTGTAAATGTTCTCAATGGAGTGCCGCTGACCGTTAAGGCATCATCTTCGTCTGGAGGATCAGAATCCAATTCATGGAGCAGTGTGAATTCACCACTAGCTTGCCAAGGCCTCCTGGAAGTCCAACCCCTTCATTTTGTTTGCTGTTCCACTAGTGATGGAGCCCGAGTGGAGAGGGGTGATAATCACCTACTATCTGGTGGTAGTCTGGGGCCTTCAGGTGCATCGGTACATGTTCCTATGATGTCTAGTGGGATGCCGACTGGGTCAGCTTTGGCGCCAACACTGCCAACTGTATCGGCATCTCTCGCTGCGTTAGAACAAGAGCTCCACATGCTTAAGGTATTTTTTTCCACAGGAGAGATAACATATACGTTTCCGAGAGCATCTGACAGCTTATCGATATTGTTTGTCTATGAATAGAGTTTAGAGCTATCGCTATATACCCATCATACCCTGCACAAGCTGCATCCAGGCCCTTCTGTTTCAGTCCCGTGGAAATATCGCCCGCTAAAACGTTTTTTGCTCTATTCAATGGAACTTTTTTCACTTGACGGAGGGTGGTACCATTTTAGGCGTGTAACCTTTGGAAATTAGACCTTTTTTAAAGCTCTAATGTTGTGGGTCTCCCATTGCGTCGAGTTATGAGTATTGTTTGTGTATCTAGTTGACATATCTGCAACGTAAAACACTAGAGCTGTCCACGACGGTTGTTTGAATACTTCCAAAATTTGGCCAATTTGGTCATTTGTTACTCGAACCAGTAACTGTGACCCCCTTTCATTCATTTGTTGTAAAGATGAGTTGACTGTTTTGTTTGTGTCGGCAGCAACACCAGCTACAGCTAGTAAGTCTACAACAACACAAACAGCAGTTAGAAAAACACAAGAAGGAACTTGAAGATATGTCCATGTGGCCTTTGTTTCCCAAGTCTCTATACAAACCTGGCAATGTATGGTCACCTCCAACAACTGCTCCAGCATTTCCACCAACCACCGCTCCCTTGACGTCCACCAATGCTCCTATTAACCTGGCGCAGCACAAAAAACAAGCATCCTCTGCAAAGAAGATGGAGAGGGCAACTGGTGGCCCTGTGTCCCAGCCAATCCAGCAACACCTAATGCAGGTAGTACTCGTCGATTTCTACTCCTGTTTAAAATCTGAAGCGAAAAAAAATTCACAAATTGAAGCCTATCCTAGTGTCAGCTTTCACAACTATAAAGTAGGGAAAGTATTATCTCCAGTTTCACAGAGAAAAAGCTATCGGAATGCACGCACAGAATGGCGCATAAAAATCATTCTTGACAAATTAACATCTTGAATCATCATTTATAAATGTTGTAAAACATATTCCGTGAGTTAATTATGAAATCTCGTACAATCCGATCGCACCAATCAAAGATACTGCCGGATGGGTTTGAGAATTTTTTCCGCACAGAATTCGTAAGCAGAGAAAATCACTACCTAGGTTTGTTTTAGGGGAGAGGGGGTGGGTGTGGGTGATAGAAAAGCACCAAATCGGTGAGAAAGACCAAGAAGTAAATGGGAATGGTGAAGAATAGCAAAGAGTGGCTGAAATTTAAAATGGCCAAGTTAAAAAATTGCCCTCTCAGCCCTCTAACTCCTAAGAGTTACTAGAATTTTTTGCCTCCTCTAATTTGTTGAATCAAACAGTAACATATGGAGAATATAGGGAATGACCGTCAGCCAAAGAGGCTCTCGCTTGTTAAAGACATTCTCATGTGCGATACCATAATAAATGTAGAAAACAGTATGGAGAATATGCGCACAGATGGATTAACAGTGCATGTCATCGTTGTTTTCTCTCCAAGCTCCCGCAGCCACAGATGCTGGTGATCGACCGTCTCCACGCTGGAGCCCGTCATCATGTTGTTTTAGACTTTGGCTGTGTTGTCCAGTTGACAGATGTGTTGATTCCTCAGTGCTCAGACATCATGTCGCTGTCCATTGATGTATGGACTCAATGGGATGATCCCGATGTACAGAGGATAGCTGTGGTGTCAGACATCAACCTTTGTGCTTGCGTTCTCAAAGATCTTTTGCCGCCCGCGGTGTGCCGTTATGTTAAGGTCAGTCGATTGGGCATCAGTGTGTAAGGTGAAATATTACATCATTTGCTCATGAGTTAAATTCTTCAATGCGAAATCCCTGCCAACTTCGCGAACAAAATTATAATTTTTGCATTTACTCGATTAAGCGCCGAAGTATTCGTTGAATATTTTGCCTGTTGGGTGCTGCACTTATCAAATTAAAAATTCGTTACACTTTAAATGTTAAGAAGAAAGTGACAACAGACCTGTTCAAAATATTCTACTGTCTCGTTCTGGTAGGAAAAATGGGTTTTGGGCCTTACACTCACTTGCCCTATATTTGCCATATTGAACTGGCAAACATTTTTTCAGGAAACGATGGTTTTCAGGCTTTTTCAGGCTTCTGCTGCCAACTGAATTAATATGACTTCATACATCGAAAAATTGACTCGTAACTCCATGACGCCACTTTCTTTCTTGTCCAGCTCTCTCAGGACAACTCGTTCAGAAAATCATCTTGTAATCGCGGATAATTTCCAGGAGAAAATGTCTCGACAAATCTTAGACACTTTTTTGTAAGGGATGCGTTACAATTCTTGGTGTAATTTCGCCAACAATAGAGTTGGAACGAGAACAGCTTTGTTTCGTCTTAAGGGCACTTTAAATGACCTCAATTATTTCTTAAATATTGTAAAAGAGGAGCTCCTTCGCTAATTTTACTAATATTTATAACGTCCTTATTATTTTTTTTATTTAGCTAACTGTAGTTGGAAGGCCCAAAACAAATGCAAAAGCACGTGTGAAGGTTGGAGAATTCTATGGTAATCCACTTTGTGGTCAGACAAGCGTCGGTGGAGAAAGTCAGCCTCTTGCTACAGGCCGCCAAGACCAGCAGTGTTTACCAATACTACTCAACCTCCTGGAAGACATCCACTGTCACTACAACTTGGCGTGTACACAACTCAAGACCCTGCTGCAGTCATCTGAACCCCGAACACCGAGGCCAGACGGATCTGGAACCCGTGCATTTCTCACTGAAGAAGACAAGAAAGTACAGAAAGCTTACAACCAGTGCGTTAACCTGCAGCACCAACTGAACCTGGTAGAAAAGTCAATAACTAGACTGACGTCCAACTCGGAAAGGAATGGAACAATTCCTTCGCTCGATGCAGCCAAATATGATCACTTGCAGGTCATTTGCAACTGTTTAATAGACACAGTGGTGGCATTAATGGGCATTGGCCCTTCATTAGAGGGTTACCTTGCTAAACCTAAACTGACCCTTGAGTGGCAGCCGTCCTTAAGCCAAGTGACTCCTACCATGTGTGAAAACCTGTTTCGTAACCTCTGTGTTCATGGTTCTCCTCGAAAGCGTGAAAGGGTCGGCGCTCTACTCTTGAATGCATGTGGTAGTAAGCCGTGGTGGGGCGAATTTTTGTCCAATGTTCTGAAAGAGTTCTTTAGTTCCACCCAGAAGTGTACGTTTCCCCAAGAAAGGTATGAGCCATTGTTTGAAAGTGTTACAAGTTCATTCTCTGTAGGAAATCACATAGCAGGTTTGCCTCGAATTCAGTGATCGACGTCACCACTGTTCATAAACTCCTGGTTATGTTGTAAGAAATATTTTAATATTCTTAAAATTTTATGCCAGCAAAAGGTAACACTAGTCACGTTTAGAGTAATACCATTAGAAGAAAGTCGTCATGACTACAGATTGCGTTGAAAATAGGTTTGATGATACATGCATAAGTAACCACATTCACAGAAGTTGGACAGATTAATGTTCTAGGAGCAAAAAGGGGTTTTACGTACCCTGTAACCAAACAAGCGAGTGGCTTGTAATTTGTACCCACTCCTTTCATACATCAGCTGACAAGCTATGCGAAAAGACTATCGTAGCAGAGCAATTTTGAATTGAGTGTCGAAAGTAATCTGGGATTTGTTTTGGTTTTGCCTTACTTTGTAATGTGATTGGTCCGTAAAACTCATACCACTTTCTCAACCAATCAGATTCAGGACCAGATCCAATCGCGACTCGGTCAATCTCGTTTTCCCGCGCTTCTGAGAGCTTTTTTTGTTGTTGTTGTTTTACTTCAGTTTCTCTTTTTAATGTATTCCTTTTATTGGTCGTTATGACCGCTTTGGTTTTGGTTGTAGGACACTAAATTGGAAGCGCTTTAAGAAGGGGCTGTCTGGTTTAATATCAAATTTTCTGGACTGATATACAGGCTTGAAATGCGGAGCGGTTATAAGAGAGAATGAGCTCTCAGATCTCTTCAAGGATTAGATAATTTTGTGGTTGTGTCGAACTTTTTCATTTTGCCACAATAAGTCTATGGGAAATCATAAACTCATAACATTTTATAATTTTGCATAATCAGATTGTTTGCAGTACTTGTGCGCTTGAGCCAACAGTCACCTTCAGTTGAACTGGTGCTCACAAGTTTTCTGAGCCTGTTAGATGGACTGCTCCTCGTCAAGGACCTCAAAGTCGACCTGGAGTCAGCAGACCTGATGTTAATCAGTTGGTTGTTACTCCTCTTACAACATGTTCTGGACACACGTATAATCCAATCTGAATCATCTACATCTGCGAACGGTCAGTTGAATGTTGGTTTTAATCGAGAAACTGAAAATTTCATTTGTGATAACGCCTGTAGATGAAATTCACATTTGGTATCGCATACTTTTTCTTTCTGTTATCAGTGACAAAAAGAAAAGATCAGCTATTCATCGCAAGCTCAAAAATACTCGCGTTACTACACAAGCTAAAATTCCGTAGATATAGGTCTAATGTATGAAGGTTGTCGTTCATGTAAACGAGTCTCTAGATCTTTAGATTTGCCGGTAACACTTCTTCCTATAGTCTGACGAAACTTTCTTGCGTTGTTGCTTTCCGAGGCTATAATGCTTTTTCACTGTCGGTAGCCCATCGAGGTTAGGCGGCTCAAACCAAAGGAACACCGTTCCTGTTTTTATTTTAAGCGCAACATAAATTCTAGGGTTAGAAATAATTGTGCAGAGTAAAAAGTTTGTTCTCTGGTTCTTTAACTGCTCACCAACTTGATTTGGTTACATTGGTTGTGTTTCTTTTATTTCTTTACATTAGAAAATGGGGAAAGTTCCAAAGGATTAAATGGTAAAAACAGCGGTACCTCCTCTCTGATTACTGGCAAGAGCAAGTCATCCAAGTCCACAAAGAGTAACAAATCGTACAAGCGAAGCAGATGGGACTTCATGCTCCCAACTTTACCAACTCTACCGTCAAGTACAGGCAGTGAAAGCAGTAGCTACTGGCACAGACACCTCAAGATGAGCAAGGGCACTTTGGTAAAGAAACCTCAGATGGATTACCCACAAGGGTTTACGAAAGGAAATGGCAAGCAACCATATAAGGTAATGGTGATTCAAATATAATGAATGACACTAGTGTCTTCTCAAGGAGCTGAAAACATTTGTCAAATAGCTGCGTGTTGCATATGATAAGGGGTAAGACTAGTGAACTTGTTTGAACGATTTGGTTGAGTGCGTCACGTTTGTTCATCAGCACATGAAGGACTTGTCCAAACTCCGTCGGCATGTTGATGAAGGAAAACCTCAACCAGAAAAGACAACTTCCCAGCCAACAACATTTCTCACAAGCACCCCTCTGCCAGCGGCCACAACACTTCCAGTCATGCGCAAGATGGTCAGCTTCGTTCTGAGTATGGATTCCTCTTGTAGTGTAGAACTGTTCTTGGTGGCATGCAAGGTGAGGTAGAACTGGAGTCTGGGTACTAGGGGGTTACGACTCAAACCCACAATGTGAAATTGAGAAGGTTCGAGTTATCGGGAGTTTGGAATAAATTGTTGGAAATAAATAGAAAATCCAGAATTTTATTGTTGCCTTTCAACTCACAAGGATATCCAGTTTGGTTCGATTAAAGTAGTGTAGGGAGGTTCCATGGTACATAGCCAATCCGCTTACAAGATTTTGTGCCATGTGGTACAAATTAACTAATCAGAAGGCAGGCTTGGCTTTTAAAATGGCAATCTGGTTTGTTAATTTGCACCGCGTGCTACGAAATCATGGCAGGAGTTACATTTAAATGTTGGTTTGGCCCATGATGTCAAACATGGCTGAATGTGGCTACTATGCCACAATTTGTCAAATTTTTTATGTCCTAAGCCGGGTAGAAGTATGGAGGGATTTTGTGCTAAGTCCTCAATAAAAACCGTGGGGTCAGGGCACGTCCCTTCCCTTCCCTTAAGTCTGCCTCGTTCCTGTAACATCCCAGGCATTCGACGTAGTGTCGTGCATAACTTTGCTCCAATTGGAGGTGTCTCATGAACTCGACTGTCGATGTTTTAGGTTGTAGCTCACCTGGCGTGTGTAAGTGACCCACCCGTCAACCTTGTGGATGTCATCACCGACAATCAACTGGAGAAGCTGCTCAGGATGTGTGTGGTGCCAAATGGGATACATTCAACTCACTGGGGAGGCCCATGGGCATCTCATGCGCTTACTACTCTGTTACAGGATCTGCTTGGTAAAGCTTATCAATGTAGTTTCAAACGATGTTTGGCTGTGATACCAACTGTTCCATGTGTTTAGACCTGAGCTGGGAAACTGGTTCGAGTTATCCTGTTGGCCGGCGGTCTTTTGGACGCCTTGAGCTGCGGAGTTGCGAAAACAAGCAGCCGTGCCCTGAAATTTTTTGGGACAAATGGGGGGGGGGGGGGGGGGAGAAGGAGGTAGTAGTTTCTTCACGCAAAGCTCTGCTGATCGTTTTCGTGGCCCCGCCGCCAAATCGATCGCGTCCAGACTAGGAGGTAAATTTCTCAGTCATTTGAAAAGACAAATGTCTTTTGAATTTTGTTTTCCGTTTTTGAACCAATTTCATTTGTAGGATCAGTTTAATTTCGGAAATACATCCAATTGAATGGCGAAATGAAGAATTTAAATAAAAGATCTACAGATCTGAAGTGGAGCGCTCGCGACTTTCTTTCAAAATTGATGTGGGGCTCTAACTTAGAGTGCTACCACTCCAGACACAGTTCGTCGTATTTGATAGTAGATGTTTTTGTATTTGAAGGTGGACAGGGAAGTAAAGTGAGTGATTCTTCAAGACATGTAACCTCTCAGACTCCTGCAGTTCAAGAAAATGACACAGAAAGTTCGCTCTTGTCAAAGGTGGCTGATTATGAAAAGAAAGGCTCCCTACTGACCATGGATTACGGCGACATATGTCCGAGTTATGACCTGCCTATTGAGCTATCAGGCTGGGTGGGAGATTTTGGTGAGATTGGCAATGGAAGCGAAATGCCCCAACCAACACCAGTCCATGAGAAACCAATGGTACAATCTTCATGGGAGGCCAAAGTTACTCCACCTCCCCCTGTCAAACTGTCATCTGCCATTGACATGAGACTTGAGCTTTGTCTCGAGATGGAAGCAGAGCAAGATCTTAAAATGCTGGAGCACCTTCAAGTAGATGCGATAGCAAAAGCACTGAGTACCGCAGGATCTTCGTTAAGAGGAACCACTGAACAATCACGAAGGAGTATGCCCAAAAATGGCAACAGTGCTCTGGTAGTAAGAACTCTAGAAACATCATTTAGTAAAATATTCAATGACTGCACCAGTGCGGATGTGGATGTTCCTTCTCTTCTGCAATTGTGGCTGAAGATTCGATTGTGTGCTTCCAGTATAACTCTGGATGCAGAATCTTTGAGCAAGCTTTTGTCGCACTCGATGCACCTTCAAGGATCGTTTCCTCAAACGCTGCAGCTTTGCCTGCAAGTCCTTACATGTGTTTCTGACGGGCAATTACGGAACTGTCCTAATCCTGAACTAATCGCTTTTCTAAGTAACGAAGAGCTTCTGCAATTTTTAGTTAGATTACTATCTCAGATGCCGTCATTTGGAGCGAACCCTCTTCCACCTAGTTCCAAGCCAGTGAAGGCGTTTCTGACTTCGTTGCAGTTGGCTGTCAATAGTCACAACAGCGCGGAGCTTTCTCAGGTTTTCCAGGAACTGTTGCTTAAGACAACGCTTGAGCTTTGTACAGAAAGGTATCATACTATTGCCTACAAAACGGGATTTGTTTAGGTGGTCCTTCAAAAGTGTAATAAATTTCCTGAAGGGTTATGGCATGGTATTTTTAATTAGTAAATTTGGTTTGTTTATGGGCACGACATCGCTATAATAAGTGAGAGAAAGATATAAAGTGTTTTGTGAGACCCTAATACAGGTAAAACTTCCTTTATTGGACACCCATGGGCAGCTCCATAAGTGTTTGAAATTAAAAATTTTAGCATACAGCCCACTGTGGTTCAGTGTATTAAGGATGAAAGGCCATCTTTGGAAGTTTCGGTTTAGTGGACTCGTTGCATGAAAAACAAAACCAAGACAAACAGACAGACGGACAGAAACAAAACGGAACAGTACGATAATTGTGAACGTGCGTGGTAAACCTACTGGTACCCACTGAAGTGCCTTGATTTATTGCAGGCTTTCCAATAGAGGAGTAGTCCTTCAAGTAGATCCAGTCATTGATATCTCACTGTCAAACCCAAACAACAGTTGGCTTGGGGTGCAACCTGAAGTTGTCACAAAACTAGTGAAAGCCACGGGGCAGCTTATTTTGGATCACCTCACCCACAGAAGAAGTGTGAGTCTTCTTCCATCTGCTGATATCGTAAGCGGAGCTAGTGTGGATAAACTGGATGACAGTACATGGCTCGTTCAGCTGCTTAGTTTAGTGATTCAGATGTTGCAGAACTCTGTTCTGAAACAATCTGATAGTGGTTCAATTCAGACATCCATAGACACTTGTCACAGAAAGGAGTCGGATGATGTTGAAGATGTGACTATCAATTCTACCGGTGGCTCTCCAGTCTGTCTTAGTTTAACAGATAAACTAGTGGCTGACAAAGGAATCTTCCAGTGCTTATTGGATTGTCTGAATCAGTGTACCACAGATAATCAAGGGGTGTCGGGTTCGACATCTCTCTGTCAAGACAAGTTTTGTACCGATGAGAAGATCTCAGGCAAACCCAGCTCAGTCGAGGATGGAGTGTGGCAACTCTTATGGATGATGCAAAAACAAGTTGGTGATCGAGGGGTTCTGGTTGAGGGATTTCTGGCCTTCATGCAGACATACGAAAAAGACGAAGTCGAGTCATCTCCGGCAGCAATGAAGCATTTGTCTGACCCCTTACTTAGGCTTTTCTGTAAGATTTTCAACTCCACTCAGGCTGTGATGCAGTTTTACGAAAAGGGTTAGTATCAAAAGGCGTAAAATTACCATTTTCATTGGCATTTTGTGTGCAATTTTCCTTGCAAAAGTAGACAAGAAAACACATAGGGGTCAAGGATAAGATTCTCAGTTTTGTTTTAAACGCTTTTGATGTGAGACCATGACCAATTAAGGGCAACATAGAAGGCAACAAAAAATTGGTGCAGTGAACTTGCTTGTTTAGGAAAGATTGCATTTTAAAAGCTGTCGGTCATCCAAACTATTGTCAGCAAGAAAAACAAACCACCAGAATCACTCTGTTTCAATTCTACGCGTTGTTCTTAGAAGAAATATAGAGAGTAGTTTGTAGAGAAACTGTTGTATTTAGTCGGTGGATTAGTGAAACCCTTCGTGATAAAGCTCAATCATCTGCAGAGTTTCTCTTTTATACCTGTGATGTATTTGGATTTTTTTCACCGTGTTTACATCGCGTTATCTGAACACGAAGGGGCAGCGAGAATTCGCGATGGTTCTACACATCTTTGATTGCGTCTTGGATTTGCGTATCTTTCAAGGATTGTCTCTTACCCCGAGTGTTCGAATGACGCTGTCATATTACGCAAAAGGTGCTCTTTTGCCTTATGAATTGCGTCTAGAAAAATGCGCGTGAAATTAAAACTTTATGACTGTGATTACGCACTCCCATCTAAACAGCGCGCCTATTGTCTTCCATGTCTGATAGAAAACCTTGGGTCTTTGAGTTCTTGTTGTGCACATTTGTTACACATATGATTGGTGTTGTTTATCCCCTCAGGCGGCCTCGACATTGTGTGTAACGCTATCATGGCAGGACGAACAGCATCCTTGGACGGTTCGTCGCATGGTCTTCTCTATGTCATGCAAGAACTCAACAGCAAACCCAACAGGAGGGAACCGAGAGGGCTCTTAACATCCCCAGGAGAAGGAGAACTGGCCAAGCGAATGTTCAACTTTGCACCTTACGGTAAGAGTCTTTGTCAGTCTTCACGGGTTTTGTTTCCCTTGACATAGAAGAATTCCTAGTGGAGTGTCTAAAGTTTTCGCGTTTTGCATTTGTTAGCATAACTGAGTTGTATATATATAACAGCTTTATTGTAATCGTAATCGTAATTCACATTATATTACATTACATTACATTACAATTGGGTTATAGAGGGAGGAACTTAATCCCCATATTAACTATACCCCATATTATAATTATAATAAATTACATATATCTATACAAATACTTTAACAATACATGCATGCGTAAGAATTTTAAAAATATGCTATAAATATATAAATCATTTAAAATAGACTTTTTTTCGATGCTTTTTTAAAGCTATTTACAGATTTCATGATCTACGACAGATGATGGTAGCTTATTCCAACAATCAATATATCTGTTCCAGAAAGAATATCTAGATTTTCTATTACTGAAAGACATAGTATCATTAATGTTTCCAGCAGAATATCCCTTTATAAACTTGAAAAGCTGGACTAAGCCTAGGAATTCTCTACGATGAGCAAGTGTGGGAAGACTGAAGGATTTTAGACGATCTTCGTAGGAAGTGTCTTTGCCAGCGATCCATCTTGTAATATTTCTTTGAACCCGGTCAAGTTTATCGATCAAGTATATTTGGTGGGGGTTCCACACTTGACAAGCATACTCAAGTATTGGTCTAATCATAACTTTGTAGCCCTTGAGTAAAGCCTCATGGTGTGACCCAAGGGTTCGTTTGAGTAAACCCAGCAATCCAGTGTTTGATCCTGCCACAATAGAGAGAATGTGAGGTTTCCATGATAAATCGTCAGAAAGAATTACTCCAAGATCCTTATGAGTAGATACTTGATCAATAGATTTATTGTCAATGGAGTAGTTGTATTGTGCACGATTTCTAGCTCTGAGTGTTGTGATTGGTTAAGAAAACTAGCACCTTCCTCTTAACCAATCATATACAGTGCTGAAACCAAAAATTGGAACTCTGTCTAGTTTAAAAATGCTGAAAAAATGGAATCTACGATGGACACTATGTGCTAAATTATACTACATCGCATTGCGGACGTATTTTCCTGTCTCTCTTGCAGCTAGCATTCACTGTACGTCCTCTTCAAAACATCCTCCTGACGCGCTGCTAAAAGTCACAGCACAGCATCGTCGCGTCCGCTCACCAGCGTGGTCTTATCGTTTTCCCGTCAACGAGGAATGGTGTGAGTTGGTTGTTAGTCTGCCTTCAGCCATCTTGTTACATGAAGTACACATTCAACCTCATTCTTCAGGACTCTCAAGTAAGTGTCTTCGTGTTTCTATCTGTCTTTGTTTCCCTGAATAGATTTCTCCGTAAAATGGTGGCTAAACATTGAAACCAGTCAGTCTAAAACTACACAGTACATCCACTTTCATACCGACTGAAGCACCCTTTAACTGGTAATCTGAATAAATTTTCAATTTGCTTTACCTTTTAATTTCCATTTTGGCTCTTTTTGTTTCATTTTTGCGTTTTACTTTTTTTATGACAACTTTATTGCAATTCAGTGTCTATCAAATCTTTGATAGATCTCAGAATAAGATTTTTCGTGGTTTGTTATTCCATCAGCTAGCCCATCACATGTGGCACTGGATGTGAGTAGTGACTGTCAAGTCCTTGTACCTGTCTGTGGACCTGTCCTTACCACTGGAATCACCACAATCAAACTTAGACTTCAGCAGCCTGTTGTTGCACAGGTATGATATTCTTATTGCGGTCGGTTCTTTGCATTTACTATAACTTTCATTTAGATAAAGGAACGACATATCGTTTGTCTCACGATTTGGAGTCCGGCTATCAAAACGTTAGTAACAGCAAACCAAGGTGATATGAAAGGCGACCCGAAAACTTTCGACCTCGTTGCCTGACAAAGACTAGCAGTATAGTTGTCGAAACGTCGCGATCAATACAGTTGAAAGCCTGATTCTTCATCGTGACACAGACACTTCAACGTTCATTTATCTAAACCACGATGAACAATAACATTTTCTAAACTTACTTGCTAAGAAGTTTTAGTTGATCAATTTAGCGGGCCGTGCAATAGAGTCTGGCTCGCTGAATTAACCAGTGCAAGTTGTAGCGAACGTCTTTGCAGAGAACTGTACGCGTTTTCACTAGTGCGGATGATCACAGAAAGTCTTGTTTTCATCCCGGCGACTGATTACAGCGACAAAATTGTGTTGGACAGGCAAAGATTTTCGAAAGACTCACCACCTCACACCAGGTAAATTGTCGCATGGGCTTCATTCCGTTAAGTGTCAAAGCTACTTCCTAATCAGCGGAGGGCTCGACAGTAACGGTACCCAACTAGCCACAGACTAGTAGAAATTCAGTTTTGGCAAGAGGTTTTCGATTTCTACCAGCCAGTTTCGCTAGTAAACAGACTGAAATTGCTGTAATATCTGAGTGGTCACTATTCAGGCATGATGCTGTTAACTGCAGCTCATCTGCGAGGATTGTTTCTCGAAAAGAGTGTCGGGATACCATTTTCAAGTTGATTGTCGAAGTAATCCGGGATTTGTTGGCGTTGCTTTATGAATCTCTCTGATTGGTCAAGCACACTTGAGCCTTCCTTTGGATCAATCAGTAATTATGTATAATTAAAACTGGCATTTTTTCCGCGCTTTACGAATTTTTTTTCATTTTACTGTGTCGTCAGTGACTTCTTTTTATACTTCCCATTTTCTTCGACTCGCAGTTAAACAGAAAGTAAACTTCTATGGCCTAGCCTTGTGAGGCAATGTTTGACTTTCAGTTGCAAAGTATTTTTCACTCCTATGTTTTTCAGTATGTCCATATTCATTGTCACCGTCCACGTGACTCCCGTGTAGTAGGACTGTCTCAGATCAAGATCATGGGAGCATCATTACATGGAGTTGAAAGTGGAAACGCTCAGGAGCTCCACAATTTAAAGGGCCAATCAGCTAGGTAATCGGCTGTGACACTTAAATATTTAGTGGAGGCGGATTAGTATTCACGGTGTGGTTCAATTTAAGCTGTATTTCGAAGTTCAATTTTCTCATGTTTTGGGTTAGAAAAACGGAATACGATTTCAATTGAACAAGAAATATGTTTGAAGCATTAATAAGCCCGAAATGTGTGTTTGGTAATTGAAAACCTTTTGACGTTTTAAACCAATTTTCCTTCAGAGGGTAATTACGGGAATAGCTCACCTAACTCAGTTTGAATGTAACTCAGTTTGAATTCTGTGTTCAAAATGTCAACTGGTCTTATATAGCCAAGTAACAAATCCTATTTGTGAAAGAAAAGCTTAGTCTTTTCTAATTATTTACTCAGAAATAGTGCTTTTTTAACACCGAGAAGATAACGAGAACCACAAACGTGTATTTATTTTTTAATTTCGCCAAACAACAGCAATAAAAATAAATAAATTTTAAAAAAAATGACAATCGATGACAAAAAAAAAAAAATGGCAGGGACACCGCAAAAGCGTAGCCAGCAACAGCGGGCCCAAAAATATAAGCGTACTTTGAACAAGAGGGAGTCAAGCAGCTGTGACATATCATTTATTCAGGCCATCCCCCCCCCTCCTTCTCCTACAACGAATTTCTCTAATCGCACCAAAAGGATTGAAAACAATTATGACTCTAAAAACCCATTGTTGCTAAAATGACTGCTGGACTTATGGAACTAAAATAGCACCTTCTATATTTATTTACATTAATAACCTACTGTAAACTATTCATACTTTAATTTGCTTTATTTGCTTCGTTGTTACTCATAATGATATACTTGTTTGAATCATTTTCACTTTTCTAAATTAACAATATTGMAATCTCCTTGTAATTTTTATTTCCAACGTCCTTGATATAATTTAAAATTGTCTGCAACCACCCGACTCGATTAGCTTTGATACATTCGGGTGGGTATTTCTTTCATTTTTTCAATATTTTTTTATTTCTTCTTAAATAGATATAAAGGATCATTTCGAAGCGATGAAATTATATATGACAATTACTCATCTTCTGTTTATTTTGTTCATAGTCTCGGCTGGGTACAGTTACTTGGCCAGTGCCTCTCACAAGGACCTGATTTTTATCTGGAGGCAAATGAACCTTCTACATTACTCTCGAATGTGTTTAGCACCTGTATCGCTCTGCTACTATCACCACAAAGGTTTTAACTGTCTTCCATTTTTTAACAATGTGCCTCCCCTAGCAGCTAAGTCGCATGTTAAGGCTACAGTTGCACCGTAGGCTTGGAAAAAATATATGCGTCATTGTCCAAGCGTATAGTCAAGGTGGCTAGATAGTATAATTGCCGAGTTCTTTTTTGCCTTTTCATGGACCGAGACGAAGTCGAGGTCTTTAAAAACACGAAAAAAAGAAAAAGGATAATATCCAGCGATCTTGACCGAACAACCTTTGTCAAAAATTGATTTATCATATAACAAAAAGATTTCCCTCTCATAATATTCAGGAATGACTTATTTATTTCGAGAGTAGGGAAAGAGAGCCATCATGGGTATACCCACAGGCGTTGTCGGCCATATAATAATAGAATTTGTTACGTCGCTCGCAGCGCACGTGGGGCAAGATGAAGCGAATCCTGTGTTCTGATTGGCTATCCAAGCGGGCAAGATGCCCGTATTGATCCCGCTCATAAAAAAAAAAACAAAAAATAGAAATAGAACTACATTTGTGATTCTTGGACAATTTCGGCGATGGAAACGCAAAAAGTGGCAGAAGATTTTCAAACAGTTGGCTTTCTTTCCAGGATCTCAAAGTAAACAAGTCATTCCTAATTCTTATTACAGCGAAATCTTTTTGCGATATAATAAGTCCTTTATTAACCAAGCGCGAGGTCAAGATGGCTGGATTTTGGCTGAGTTCGTTTACCGCGTTTTTATGGACCTCGACTTCGTTTCGGTCCATAAAAATGCAATAAAAGAACTCGGCCAAAATGCACCCATCTTGACCTCGCGTTTGGTTAATAACCCAGAGAAATTTTCAGTTGAGTGCCGAAAGTAAACCAGGATTGGACTGGTTTTACTTTCTTTCGCTTTGTGATTGATTCAGAAATCTGGTGCCACCCTCTTAACCATCAGACAGTTTTCTTGTTTCTGCGTTGATTTTTTATTGGCTCCTTCGGATGGTTTCCGTAGTCTCTGTAATTAAACAAAGATGTGGTTACGTCTGGAAGATGGTTGGTATGGAAATGAAACATCAGTGTGTATCCACCCTTATTACTTCCGTCGACCTGCTATGAATGACAGGGAATTTTGATATTATGAAGAACGCGAGCAGTGAAATGATATATTAATAAAACGTTTTTTTATCAGACTCGAGATAATTTTTTCAGTTGTTGCATACATATTAATTTGCAATTTAATTTAATTGTGAAGTGGCACTGATGACTTATTTCCTTTTTTAGTGCTGGTCACTCTACTTGTTTAGAACTGGTCCTCATGAAGTTGTCCAAGCAGTTTCCAGAACTCGGCACCATGTTAATGAAACAACTTTTAAAATGCCCGAGTGAGAAGGGAAGAAAGAGAGGACCGCTGGTAAACGTAGCCACAGTGGAACTTGTATACCAGTTGGGAAAGAAACAGGACTCTTCATACGAAGACAGGTATGGCGAGCGGAATGGTGATTGGGTAAAACTAACGCTTTATTATATTTTAATTGAAGCTTGTTTGGATCGAGGGTCGCCGGTAGAACTAAAACCAAAGGTGTAACAGTGGCCATTTAAAGAAGAAAGAGAAAAGCAAAGGAAAATCTCTCTCAAACTTTCAAGGAAACCAGTGCATTGCTGCATGAAATGGGGCGAGCGGCCTGTTCAGGAGTAGTGGCAATGCATCTATGTGCGTCATGAGACAAAAACGGAAGTAAACCTCACTCTTCGTGTGATCCACTAAGCCCTTGTACGACATTACGCAAGGAACTGTCGCGAAAGTTAAAAAAGATAGTCTAAGTATACGTTACGTCAAACCTTTGTGCGTTTATGTCCGTCTCTCCAATCAAAAAGTAGCCATTTGGATCAGTAGCGAATAGTGTGGCTACATTTTCTGATGCAGAACCATTATGCAGCATCACAGTGAACGGTGAAGCAGTTTCTTTCCGAATAATATCGTGTATTGATCACTAAGTTCTTGTCTTACTTCGGCAGATTGTCAGTGATATCGTCCTGGTTACGGTCCGTCTGTGACTCGTCCACCTCATTGCACAGGGCACCTGGGCATATTCAGTCTGTAGCTGCTGTCATCTGGAATGCAAAGGAAACTAACTCGGAGTCAGTAGTGAGACGACACTTTTCGGAAGAGCTCTTCAGGTGTGTTTCAGTTGGACCTGGGTGATTACCGTCATTTTAAAGTTAACTTGTACCTTTTTTATTTGGTACAAGACGACCACTTACTTTTGAGGGCTCTCTACTGTAACTGTCATTAAATCCTTGTAAAGTGTTGACTACTTGTTCTTATAGTTTTTGCGTCAGTCAGTGTTACACTGGGGCCAAACTTTGCTTGTACTGTCATATTTTTTCAGATAACACCCCACCGTGTCTCTGTAATTAATTGTGTGGTTGTAAACCTGTTTTCAAAGGGAGAGGTTTGGGTTTGGCTGACAACGCCACAAACAAGCAAGCCACATATTATCTATTGTATTTATGTGTGTCCTTTGTTTAAGAATAGCAACACAGTAAAACATTAGAGGAACTACTCGAAATTGCTCGTTTCTAATCCGTATCTAGTTTCGTACTTCTCTAAAATCTTCGTATGGGCTTTGTCTTCCCAGCAGTTGAGGTGTTTTGGGCCTCTTTTCCGTCTAACGGAAGTGTGCAACACGTAAATGATGATGTAATTATTGTGTCAAATCCGCTTTTAACTCGGAGAAATTAATGAGTCAGGTGCGTAAGCTACATTGCGTAACCCAGAATACTGCGTTTTTATCCTTTGTTGCGTTCTCATTTGGCATACCTGCATCTTTAATTTTCAGATCTCTCCATGAGTGTTCTCAAACTTCCTCTAATGAAGATTCCCTGAAACGAAGTATTGATCACCTCATTGGTGCTCTAACGTACATTTGTCCAGCCTATTATGAAGTGCTTCTAGAACTGACTGGAGTCAAGGAACTTCTCAACGAACGTAACAAAAAAAGTGGCGAAACTGGTGGTGCGTTGTCAAGACTTCTAGCAGCTCCGTCACGTCTCGCAACACTGGCTACAGCCAGCCAATCATATGTCACTAGTCAACTATTGTTAAATTCTGGGTTACTTGAAATGATGGCTGGAGGTATTGTGGACTTCTGTCAAGCATTTGGGAATTCCCAAGGTTTGGACAAACATCCAGCTGTGGGGGATCCACCACCGAAGACAAACCTGTCTATCGACCTTCTTCCAAACCTTTTAGACTTTTTAACTTGTTGTTCCCAGGAGCCAACCATTAAGGACTGGATGGGTGAAACAGGATACCAGTTGTGGTTTTTACTTCTTTCACAGCTTTGCAGAGGACGAGATGTCCAGAGTAACTCACCTTTTGGCTCACCAGGCGTAGTTTCTTCCATCCCCAGCCACGCCAAGTTTGCAATGGAAACTTCAACGGTGGATCTTTTATGCAACTGTGTTCATTTTCATCTCAGAAATCAAGAAAAGATGGCGAGTCTCTTGGTTGAAACCATTGGCGGAAAGAACTCTATAAATGGATCAAGTCTTGACAAGGAAACCAAGGTGAACACACAGGTCAACGGCTTCTTACGACAGTTGATCTTACAAATGTTACTTGAAGAAGAGACAGTTCTTATCTGTGTGCACGTTGAGAATGATTTGAATTTACAAACAATGCGAGGATTTGATTTCTTTCACAAAGATGGTTGGCATCCTCGCTTCGGAGCAGGACACTCATTTCCGTTATTTTCTGCTAAATTCTCCACGACTCTTAACGAACTTAGTGAACAGATTCTTCGTCCTAAAGTAAACAAACCGGTCGAGACAACGTTGGAGGAAAGGTTCCCCAAACCCGCTGCAGTGGAGGGAATGGCCGAACCTGGCGAGTTTAGCCAGTACGAAGGGTTTGAATTTCTTGAGTCTGTTAGTCTTGCAGCGGGCCTGAACGTGAAAAGTAAAAGAGCTGAAAAAAGTGAAGTGTCAACAGCAAAGGAAAATAATCCAGATAATGGACAGAGTCACAATCAAAGAAAAAGCGTTTCGTGTTCATTCTATCACGATATACTTGGCAACATGCGTTTACCACAGTCTTGGACATTGGCTCAGTTGCTGCAGCATCTAATGAACAAAGGACTACCTTGTGGTACGTCTTACCTTGAGGTAACGTGTAAGACTCAGGATGGAAAGACGGAGGATAATTCTACTAATTCTGTGCCATTGCTCACCCCGTTGGATGTGTTTGCCAAACAGGATGGCTTAGTACACTTATCAATGCATCTCCCGTGCCATGTTATAACATCTTCCTCGGTGGCTCATGACACCGAAACGGAGGTGGTTGAGGGTGACAGCAGTGATAAACAGGTGCCCTCCTACCCAACGCAGCTTCCGTTGCCTTTAGTTTCCATACCTGCATCAGTGTTAAGTGCTGTTCCAGCACATACACTTGTAGCGTTTGGTTTATTCATTCGCCTTCCTGGTTACAATAAAGTTCTGCTTGAAGATCGTCTCAAGGCTTGCTACCTTCTGAGGCTGCTTCTGGGAGCCAAACAGGATGGGAATGGAGGTAGGAGTCAGTGTTTTCACTAATCAGTAAGTGTGTCGGTCCTTCCTTGAGTCAGTGAGTCAGTGAGTCAGTAAGTCAGTTGCTCGAATTGTCGGTCGCTCACTCAGTTACTCATTCGGTCAGTCAGTCAATTCAAAAATCACAAACGTTTTATTAACCCTTTTCACCCTATCATTAGTATGCATGTTCTCCATACTGTTCCCTAAACAGTTCGAAAAGTGCTGACAAGGATGATTTATTCAACAATCAAGAGTTTCTTTTTTTGGTGATCATATCCTCTATTTCCGAGCCCTTAATGTTTGATTCAGGGGTGATATCATAAAGAGAAAATGGACGCTTGTCAGTCTAAGTGGTCAAAGGGTTGATATAGACGATGTGATATATGTCAGACCTGAAAACCTCAAAATGTGCTCAAGACTAATGAGTGAGGACGTCTGTTGAAGTCCTAAATGTAATAAAGTCCTTAATGTTATAAAGTCCTAAATGTAATAACATTTGGCCTAGTTGTAATAAGCCTCTAATGCAATCGTTCCACTGCGCTAATGCATTGTTGTTCTAGCGGACATCCACATTGAGGTGTTAAAGTGACAGCTGTTGCAAAAAATCCTCTGCTCAGTATTCATGTCACATTGCGGGCTCGCTGATATCAACCAGCATCTTTTTACTTACTAGTCGTAAGTCGAGTACCATTGGCTGGAGACCGTTCTACTGACAGCATCTAATGACAGCTGGCAAAACAATGAGTACGCTGACCTCCATATATCACTGGTTCTGACTCTTAAGTACAATAGATTTTGGAAAAATTCTGGTAACGTTATACTTGTGTGATCAGTGATGGAGGTACAAGTCATAAACCAAATTAAGAACTTGGGACAAGGAAGTTTGTAGACTTGTAAGTCGGACAATTTGCGGGCTTGGATATAAATTTTTTGTCTTTACTTTTTAGACCAGACCTTGTTTAGCATGCACATTTTGTTTCCCAATTCGGACCTTGTGACAGCTCTTCAGAAAGTTATTGTTTTCAAATTGTCGAATATTTTCGTGGTTATATGAATAGTGACGAGATGATTTTTCTCCACAAGAGAAGATAATTGGGAACAATTGTGTTCTCTTGATCTTGAATTGCATGCAACAAATCCAACACAGAAAAAAACTACTGCGTGGATCTACATCAAATTATATACTCAGTGACTTACATTTAACAGGTGTAAATGAAAAGAAGCTGGTGACCAGCACATTCAAAATGGTTATCTATGTGAAAGGTTGTTAATGATGTACCGATCCCCAAAAACTCACGCAAAATTTTCAACGAAAACATCAAGAATCAACCGCTGTTGCCAAATAGGTACAAGAAAATTTATAGAAGTCTGCAAAAGGAATTAAAAGAAGGGAAGAGAAAAACTTGAGACTTTTCAAACGCAAAGCTTATTCAAATACTTTATCCTAATGTTTTAAGCTTAACTATCAATACGCCTCTGCACTTCTAAAACCCAGTGACTTACTCGCTTGTGTGGTTGATTGTAACTTTTGGACAATGTCTGCGACGAAGTCGCAGAGAGCAGTAGAAGGGCTAGACAGTCAAAACAAAGAAAAAAGGTTGAACGAACCTCTTGGATTTATTGTGCTACAAACACAGCTGGCTCTCCCTCTCTTTCTCAAAATAAACAATTATTCTTGATTCTTATTAGAGCGAAATCTTTTTGCTTTATATTAAATCCTTCATCGACTAAGCCAAAGATAAAACCTGTCTTAACTCGAAGTCGTTTACCGTCGTTTCTTTCAATTTTGGCTAATTTTCTCACGCTGAAATTATCATACACACTCAATAGAATATATAATTTCAACTGCTAACTGTTTATCTGAAGAAGAATGCCTTCCCTACCCTCCAAAAAATCCGTTCAAAACATCAGGAACATTAATTTAGCGGACGGTGCCTATTTACCCCGATGGTGACCCAGTGTCGAAAACGTTTGGTTTTTACTTTTAAAATAAATTTTTGCTTGGTAAACGGCTCAAATTTAAACCCGTGCTAAGATTGAAAGGTTTTAAAATAACTTTTTCTTTGAATTTCTGTTTGTTTGTTCTCAAAGTCATATCTCAGAGTATCGGGCACGAATTGTGTAATACCGCTAAGATTAATTGTTTTGTCCATAATGTTCGCTTAATAAAGTACATTCTATATACAAGGCTAAAAGATTAGGGAAAAAAAATTATTAAAATATTTAAACCAAACGTTTTACGCTACATTTACTCTTTCTCAAGAACAATAGAAGGACTCGGTCAGAGCACAACCTCAGTCGCCTTCTTAACACTGAGAGCAAGTTTCAGAATGAATTCCGTGATGTAATTGTGGATTTCCGATGTATGAATCATTACGCTAATCAGTGTCATTGTGCGCCGCCAAGAAACTTGAATTTCAAGGTAGGTATATGACAGGACTAACCACCATTTAGATGCATCTTTCTTGACAGAAAACGAAAGATCGCTACATGTTGTCGCTTTCTGATCGCTGTCCCTTTTTAGTTCCTTTTTAAACAGTCACAACAGAAAAGAGAAAGCAAATACCTTCACCAAATACCGAGACGATGGCTCGTCGCGGAAAACAAGAACATTTTCCAACCTTTTCGCACAGTAAAAGAAATATCTCTCAAAGTCTAACTTAAACACGATGTAGAACTCTCAGAGTCAAGTCAGCTTGAGCTATAGCTACTCCAGAGCAGTGAACAGCGGGCGCATTCCTCGAAATTGTTTTATGTCTTCATCACAATACAAGAATTTTTGAGATTTGTATTTCCTTTCTCCAATGGAAACTATCTTTATTTGTGGCGGTAAATTTGAGATCGAAGTAGGTGGTTCGCACGTTATCTCATGCCACCATGCTGGTGGAAGTAAACAGTAGATATCTCATTAGCTCCTTTTGTTCGTCAACTAGCATTTAAATTTGACCCGCACACGTCAACGGTGAGTGACAAATGCGCCTAGGTCTTCCCAGGGAAGACTTCTTATATAGCGCGCCTTCGTGTTTAAAGTAGAGGCCAAGGGTTGCATTTAAGACCATTTAATGAGTTTTAAGACTAAGGAAAGTACATATACTGCGAGACTAGATTGTTCCCAGTCTGAATGGGTAAACAACACTAGTGGTAATATTAAATTAACTACACCGTTCGTTTACAACTCCTACAGTGCTTCCGCAAATTTGGATTTGTCTTCTCATAAATTTCTTTAGGATCCCAAGGTTAAGAGTTTTCAGTTTTCATGCGATGATTCTTCGACAACTAGTCGCAGGTTTTTGTCTTTTAAATCTGCATTAGTAAATGGTCAGACAAATAATTTCGTCTCGGCCGTTTCGTCTCCATGTTGAAATGTAAATGTGGGGGTTTTTAGTGAAATGTGGTTGGCTGTTTTTAATTGCCGTGACTCATGATTGTAAAAAGTTAAAAGCCGTGAACTGTGAATGATATGCCAGTCGCAATACGTGAAACAAAGATACTATTTTTCCGTTATCCGTTATTACGAAAAAATAAAACGCATTTTTCCGTGAAAAATTACTTGCCGAAAATATAAAATATCTTGACCAAGCCTGTTCGGTCAAGATGGCCGTATTGGTCAGCGTTCTATTGTTTTGGGATCTGTCAATTTGATGCCAAAAGCACATCAGTATGAAGGTTTGTAGCCAATACTTCTCGGCCTACTTCTCGGCCTACATCTCAAGCAAAAAGAGACCCTGTTTAAAATCAGCGAGAGAGCCCACACATACGCCATGAACTTTGGTCAGAGGATTTTCTGGTGTAACAGTTGTCACTTTAACGTCTCAATGTGGATGCACAAGCACAGTTAAAGTATTGCATTGGAGGCTTATTACATTTAGGATCAAATGTTATTACATTTAGGACTTTATTACATTTAGGACACAATGTTATTACATTTAGGACTTTATTACATTTAGGACCAAGTGTTATTACATTTAGGACCAAGTATTATTATATGTAGGACTTTATTACATTTAGGAAAGTTATTACATTTAGGACTTCAACAGACATCAGCGTCCATGTGTTCGCATACCTATTTCTTTAGCTTATCGTGCCTTTCCATGTTTCTCCCAGAACCTATTTTGTCATCTCCAGTGGCCAGCAGCCTGTCTACACTACCATTCCATGTGTTACGGATCCTATTTCAGAGCAGTGAGCTTTCACCACAGGAAGGTGCAGCCGTGCACAGGGCGGCTGTAGAAGTCGGTGCGATCCAGATGGTGTTACTTTGTCTTGCTGTACTGAGTCATCACAAACCGCGAGCTACTAATCACTCACATAAGATGGCTTTACAGGCCTTGTCCGCATTAACGGGCAGGTACAGTGAAAACTTCATCCCCATTACCTGTGGGGTTGTCATTAGGAGCCGGTAGACTATTTTGCAGTGGCTACTTTGTGGATTGTGTTACGTTCAAAGAAAGGAAAAAGTATTTTTGATGCATCAATGTCTGGCTAAACAGTGTTACTCGAATATGCCCTAGAGTAGGATGCTGGAAATCACGTCGAAGAGAGTTTCAGATTTCAAAATATTCCGGGGGAATATGCCCGCTCACTCCCTTAGAAGGGCGGGTTACTTTGCAACACGTGATGCTTCCCATGTAAAAATTAATATATTCAGCCACCTACTCAAGTGAGAACATACAGCTATTACATTTTCTGATGGCAGCCCTGACCAGGAACAATTTTAGGTAGTCTGAGTTTCGTTAGTAGTCTGGGATATCTGCGATGCTGCACGATTTGTCCAGGTTCAATTGTAATTGGCCTTGTAGGGTAATTCTCTGTGTTCTGATTGGCCATCGTCATTGCTTTGGTTTCGGTCAACGACACGAAATCAAGATGCCCTCTTAAACTTTTATCCCACAAGGGGTCGCTGATTTTGTTGTTGATGATTGTTTCGGTGATGGACTCAAATTTGTTTGAATTTGTAGTGTTTGCCGCGACAATGATGTTGGAGCCGGTAGTGAGAGAAGCTATTGGGCCAAAGGGACAGGATTTGGTACAGGATCCACATCATCAGGCTGGGATGTTGAACAGGCCATGCTAAAACAGAAGGCTGAAGAGGAGCATGTCACTTGCCTACTGCAGGTAACTACGGTGGAATTAAACGTAGGGAAGCTTCTCTGGGGGCGATTTTAGCTTTTTCACATGTGTTACCCCAGTTAATTTAGTGTTTCTCACGAGATTTTGTGCTTTAAGACGTTTGTTACCGTTCTGTTAAGGACTTTAAGCTAACCTAAAAGGTATGAATAGACCCAGCTCTCTTAATGCCATTTGAATGGAGTATTATCTGGTCTTGACAAGCAGTTTCAGAGATGGAACCTCCCCTAAAAAGATCAGACTTATTTTCTATATCGAGACGCACCAGTTGATAAGGAGAACTTTTGCCGAAAATCGAAGTCGATTGAGGTCATGAACAAACCTTTCTCATCTCATGGTTGAAAATTTTATGCACATCCAATAATCACAGTTTTTGATGAAATTGAAAAAAATGTGATCAGAGTCCTTTGCAGGAGAAATGTCCCCTCCCCCTTAAACTTTGCCCCGCTCCCAACGGTTGAAAAAAAAAAATTAAAACACTAGGCTTAAAATTCACCATCTTCATTTGCATCATCATCGCGCATAAGCATCGCGCATAAGCATCGCGCATAAGCATCGCGCATAAGCATCGCGCATAAGCATCGCGCATTGACATTCTTATCCTCGCAGTATGGAGGAAGTTTGTCAACATGGACCCAGTTAACGGCCTAGCTCGCCGCGAGTTTCCTTGAGCTCACTAGTAAATCACCCGGAATACTTATCAGAAGATCGTAGGTTCGACTGAGGAGCACTCGAAGTTCTCTTTCTCCGAGTACACATTTGTCATTCTCTGAAAAATTTTGTTGTCTTAGGTACTTGCAAGTTATATCAGGCCCTTTGGGAAACACAACGACTCACACTCAGCGCCATTTTCAGAGTGTTTAAGTGCAGACGGTTCGTATCCATTCGTTGTCGTTCTGCTGGAGCTGTTTGAAGAGTCGTGTCTAATTCCCGCTCTTTCATCGTACCTAAGGAATGACTCTGGTAAGTGTGCACACGAAAGACTGGATTCCTCCAGTTTTGAAACATAGCAATTTTACCCGTTACTGCCCTACTGAAAGACAAAAGGAAGAAAGAAAGAGAGAAAGAGAGAAAGAAAACCAAATGGACATAAATGAAAATTAGGGAAGGAGTGAAAACGTGAATGACTTGAAACAGAAAACTTTACTCACTCATTCAGGAGCACAATCCCCAAAATATCAATTGCAAGGCCTTGCTTATTGTTTCAGTTTTGGGAAGCATTCGACTTGTAGTATTTCATTTCAGAGTTTGACGATTATCTGACCTTTTCATTGTTTCTACCAGTTTCTGACCCAAACCTGAAACACGGACATTAAATTTTCCCTGTCTGCTTTACAATTTAATTCTTAACTTTGGCGGTTTTGTGGCAAAGTTTTGAGAGGTCCACAACCTTTTTTCCTGCTATTGAACCTCTTATTTGTGTTTGTTTATTTGTTTATTTGTTTGTTTGTTTTTTTTAAACAGTTCTTGATATGGCACGCCATGTTCCTCTGTACCAGGCTGTTTTAGAAGTGCTCCGTTCGCTTGCGTTGTGCCCAGTCCTCTTACCTTTGTTACTCCCTCATGCCAATGGTATTTCTGTTGAGAGAGCCTCTAACGAGGCACCGTCTATAGTTAGCCTGCTGGAGAAGATGAAGCAATGCGTGGAGACTTACTCGAGAACTTTGCGGTAAGATAAGGAGGAACTCCTCAAATTGACTGTTAGTAGTAAAGACTTGGGTTAAAAAAATTATTTATCAGTAATTATATTTCTAAGTAGGCGCGAAGAAACGACCCCCATTGTTCACTCTTAGACCGGAGGCTGTCGGGCGATACTTCATTTAAGGAACGATGTTAAGTTTTTGTCTCAGCGAAATATGAAACTACTCTAGGTAGGAAAGTTTTGGCTTTGCTATATATTTTTGTCTTAAAAAAGTTTTGTCTGGATAAATCAGACAGGGGCACC